TGATCGCAGAGACAGTTATACTCAAGAATGACCACAGGAGTCACCAAGCACAGGGGACAGTTATACCCATGGTTCTCAACCTGTGATCTGCGGACCCCTGGAGGTCTGACGGTACTGCAGGGGGTCAGTGGAAAGTTTAAAAGTAAGGCTTGGGCCCATCATGTTGGGCTCAATCCTTTTCTTTTGTTCCCTTTCCCAGCGGGGGGGGAGGGAATCTAATCAGTGAAATTTTAATAGATTGAAAAGGAGGCCTGTATGCTCAAAAAGGTTGGGAACCTCTGAATTATACTAATGAAAGACTACAGGGGAGCAGCAAGCGCCAAGCCCAGGGAGTAACCACTGGCCAGCACCACGGACGCCTCCATGGAACAGCTGCTGACCCGCTTTGCAACCCCTGGCACCTCAGGTTGCCCTGGGGAAAAGCCAGCAGGTAGCCTGTGTGGCCTGGGGAGAAGCCAGTGGGCAGCCTGCACAGTCCTCCTTGCGCTCTTTCCCCCAGCCAGCCCTGGTCCTGTGCAATGCCAGTTAAGGTAAATCTTCTACAGGTTGGACCTCCCTGGTGTGACACGCTCGGAATCTGGTCAGTCCTGGATTAGGGATTTTGCTGGACCAAGGAATTGACATTTCTGGCCACCTGACACCAGTTCCCTCCAGCCCCGGCCTGATTGCTGGCCTCCTGACCAGCTCCCCTCTCTCGCTGTCAGCCCCTGAGGCAGCCCCCAGCAGCCCCACTGCCTCCATGCACTCGGTTCCCGCTGCAGTGCCTGGCAGCCCCACCATCTCCATGCACTGGGTTTCCGCTGCAGTGCCTGGCAGTCCCACTGCCTCCCCACACCTGGCTCCTGTTTCCTTACTGGGTAGTCCCACTACCATGTGTGGGGCTCCACTGCCTGCTAGCCTGCAGGGCTCCCATGCACTAGCTCTCAGCTGGGACTTTCTGGTCCTGGAACATCCATGGTCCTACAGGACCGTGGATGTTGCCAGACAAGAGAATCCCAGTTAAGAGAGTTTCAACTTGTAGTAAGTTTATATTTTAAATATTTTGTTCATGTTTCTATTAACAATGCAAAAGACCAGGAATGAAAGATGGTCCTGAGAAATTTAACAGAACCCTCTAAAGATCACCTACTCCTCTTCATCAGATTGTTTATTTGTATTACCATAGCACCTAGGAATTCCAACTATGATCTGGGTCCCATTGTGCTAAGAGGTATACAAATACATTGTGAGAGCTAGTGCTTGCTGCAAGAAGTGATAGTCTATCTAGACATGTGTGACCATGCTCTTCAAGGCCTAAGACAAACTACAGGGCAGGCTTGAGTAGGGTGAAGGAGCCTACAGAGTTTCCTCCTCTCCATCTGCAGGGGTTACATGCCACATTCTTGGTAGAGCCACAGTCCCTATTTCTATTAACGTTAGGTGTAGAGAAACCTTTTTGCAAAACGTATATTTTGAACCTATCTTACCTGACACCTACATACCTCTCCCATAATTCTAAAGAAATCACTGGGGGGGGGACAGATTGTCATTGTCCTTCCAGAATCCACACATGGAGAGGAAATTCCTGTAGGTAGATCTCTTCCAGTCTGTGTGGCACCATCCACCTATTACGCCACATCTCATGGAAATCTGTCCTGGAGGGTAGGTATAGGATACACTCACTGTCCCGCTCCTAGGTTCCTGGGATATTTCGAAAGTATCTTTCGAAAGAGCCTCTTTCGAAAAAGGCTTGCAGTCTAGACATAGCCCTGGTGAAAATCAGTAGAGTTGTGGTTCCCCATTAATGGGCTGCCCTAGACTACTTGGGCAGGGTTTTAGGCATGTATTGCAGAGGAAGAGTATCAGTGCGTAAGAAAGCTGGAGGACTGTATAACCACCACCAGGTGGATTTGAACCTGGGGCCTCTGTTGCTTAGTGTAGGAGCTTCTACAGCTTGAGCGATAACTGCACATGCACACCTATAATTCTGTAAGCACGTTTCGGTTGCATGAAAGCTGTAGTTGTTGTGCTCTGGTGACAGGAGGACAGAGATGACCCAGCCAGCAGTCCATTGCAATACCTAGCTAAGAAGCACTTCACTAGACATTTGTTTGATTTTCCTCCCCATTGCATGGAAAAGGACCCATAGTCTGATCTGTGCAATGTTTTGGAATGGGAATCCTATGGCTGCGGGACCTGTAGCATGGAAATGCAAAAGT